TTTAACTAGTGGCATCGATCGGTTGGTCAAAGTTTGGGGACAGATGGATCGACGAGGGGTATATGGTTGTTTATCGTCTTCATTGTTTGCAGCTTGATTAGATAGCATAGCTATCATAAAAGTTTCGTCACTTTACAGCTTGCAAATAATTCTTTCTTACACCATTTTGACAAACAAAATTTTTAATGTAAGAAAAGTATATCTTTTAAAGGTCGGGTATTATAAAGTTTTCCCACATATCAAATTTTCACATTCCAGAACTTAAGCATTACTTACGCTACGTAAGTCACTCCTTATGAATTATAGAGTTCATATATTCCCACATATCAAATTTTCAACATTACCAGAACTTAGCATACGTTACGCACGTAAAGTCACTCCTTAATGAATATAGAGTTCAATATATATAATATATATATATATATATATATTATAATATATATATTAATATTATATTATATATATAATATATATAATTTTAATAAGACTAATCTCATTTTTGCATTCATAACTGTTACCATCTATAAGAATTTTTTCCATAAACAAAACCCCCTAATTATATAGAACTTGGCTACTGTACTCAAACATGTTTTATTTTTGAGCCACTTCTTATGGATTTATAAAGTTTAATTATACTGCACTACTTATCAAATGATGAATCAAAATAATTTATAATATTGTCACAAAACTAATTAAGCATGTACTGCATGCCAATCAGGTGATAGTCTAGTTGGTCTGCTCACTTATGTGATTCGGCCACAGTTGTTTTCACTAATTTAATGAACTAAGATGAGAACTTATTGTGTAGCCGACAATAATATCTACTCAAAAAAAAAAAAAAAAACCTATAGCCTAGGAGACAATGATGGATCTCGTAGTCATAGGAATAAATACACACATATAATTAAAATTGATATTTACGTTATATACGTAATTATACAAGTCTAGTTATCTAAATAAATATAAAAATGTTGACAATATTTAAAAAGAAATTAGAATTTGTTCTCTTTTATCATTATTCAATTTTTTTGAATATGTTATATGATCAAACGTATTTCCTCAGCATGCATCTAAATCTACACTTACTAGAAAATCAAGTCGTGAAGTTAATATCTTCGAAAAAACTTTAATATAGTCGCTTTTCGACCCGAAGAGTACATATAATAAGGCAATTTAATTTATAGGAAAAAAATAAAAACTTGTCTCTAAATTATACTCTATATAAGGACTTTGTTGCTAAAAACTATGAGATCTTTAATTTATAATTCCATCAACATTGTGGTTGTTCCGTCAACAATATTAAAAATACTTATACAAGCCTTCTAAGTTTTATTCTTATAGGTAGAAATACCCACGATTCGGTTTCAAATCGAAAATAAAGGTTCGGTTACAGTTCTTAAAACTGTAACAGAAACCGTGAATTTAAGATTCGGTTCCGGTTCTTCATTTTTTGAAACTGAAATCCACGGTTTTGCTTTAAAACTAACGATTCTGATTTGAAACCATGAAAAACATATTGTTAAAGAAACTCTCAACTTATTTTTTTTGTTTACTATAATTTTTGAAATTAATTTTTAAAAATTTTTATTAAATTGATTTAATTTTTTTCTCTTTAAAAATTCATTTTATTAATTGATATTAATTTTTTCTTCAACCAGTTAATAGCCTTATTTATAATTGTTATTATCTCAGTCTATTTCGTTCACAGCGCTATTTTAAAAAACGTTTCAAAAAACTCGGTATATATCATACTATGTAATATTTTTGTGATAGAGATTTCAAATTTGCCTATAAACACCTAACATCGCCCGGTTATGAAGACTCACGTCTTGTAAACCCAAGGCTCGCTCCTCATCAACGCGGTCTCTGAGTCTTTCAATTCGACTTACCTTATTACCTAATACACTAGAATCCCTCCGGTAGGTTTGAAACCTCGAGCGTCCAGACACTGTGGCTTCATGCCTAAGTTATGGAGTTACCATATTCAAAGCTAAAAGGATTAAATAAATCTATATGGCTCTTTAGGATGGGATTAAATTGATTTAATTTTTTTCAACAGTAATATTTATTATTATTATTATTATTTATTCAAGCTATTTTAAAAAGTTTAAAATATATTATTTAATTTTGATTCAAAATTGCAAAAACCATAACTGGCGATTCTGAAACCGTCTTAAAAATCGTCTAAAAGCGGTTCGGTTTCAATTCCACCTTTATTATAACTAGAATCGGTAGTTTTGAAACCGAAACTGTGGTCATGCCTAGTTATTGGAGTTACTATTCAAAGATAAAGGCTTAAATAAATCTAATTGGCTTTAGGGATGGGAATAGACCGTAAAATTAAGGGAAAAAAAATTTAAAGATTTAAAGAAGGCCCATTTAAAAGAATCACTATTTTATAAAATAAATTTTAAAAATTTCTGGAACTTGAGGGCCAGACTCCCTCAATCCCCCGTCTTTTGCCCCAGCCTGGCTTCACACCATAGGCCAAATTTAGGACTTGGCAGTACTTAACAAAATACAATAGGCTACCTTTCATTTTAATTCTGATAAAATAAGTATATTGTAATTAATTTTTCTAATTAGATTAACAATATTTCAAGAGGTTTGATGCAATTATAATTTTGTTTAAAAAAAACAATTTTTTTATTCATAAAAAAGATTTGTGTTTTTTAGTCATTTAAGTGCACACTTGATAACTGTTACTTAGTGGCGGATAGTTGATAGTTAGAATGCTAATTGGATACAATTTTTATAATCAGTAATATTGAATTGTAAAAGGACCATTAAGGGGTATATATAATTTAACTAAACTTTTTATAATAATATTTAATAATTATTAATTTTTTGACATAATTATAAAAAATGATAACATAACATATTATTAAAAAAATTTATTAATAATTATCTTTATATATATACTTGAAATATAATATAAATACAAATCAGTCAATCTAAACTAACTTTTTATCAAGTAGGTGTAAACATCAATTATCACCGTGATAATCCTTATAAAATAAGTTCAACTTACTTATTAAGTACAAATCAAGTATGAGCAATATGAAATACATCAATTAAATACGACTTAAATATTTTTTGAATAAAAATTTTTCTTTAATATTAGAAAGATTTTTTATTTAAAAATTAGAATTTTAATATAATTTTTTTATTAATATAATTATATTTTCACTATTGAGAGCGTAGAAAAAAACAGTTGTACCTTGTGAAGCAAGGAATTGAACTTTTTATGCTTTAGCCCCACACGCTATTGTTGTCAATGTATAATATCACAAAAATCATATTCATACAACATGAATAATCTGGGGAAAAAGAAAAGACAAACCAGCTCCCACAATGAATTAAGAATGTGAAAGGATGTTTATCCATTCTCTATCAATATCATTATTATTTCTGCTACATAATATTTATCACATTTGGAATTTTACGTCTCTTAAAAAAGTAATTAAATTTGTCTAAATTACAATAAATTATTAAATAAATTGACTATATTACTTTTAACTTAATACTAATTTTTTAAGAAAACCATTACATTGAAGTAATAAATATTGATCATATACAAAATGTAAACAAAAAAAAAAGATTTATTACTCCTTATAACCACGTATGTGACAAATATTTTAAAATAAATTATTTTCTCAAAAGTGACAAGGAATATAGAATGGATGTAATTATATATATATATATATATATAATTTTCTAAATATTTTAAAATAAATTATTTTCTCAAAAGTGACAAGGAATATAGAATGGATGTAATTATATATATATATATATATATAAACAATACAAATATGAGACCCACACACTGACACGAGTAACATAAACCTAATACTGGTTGACATTGAACCCAGCATTTAGCAGAAAACATTCTAAAACCTTAAAAGAAAACCAAATTCCTACGATGGATTCACCCTTTTCCCGAAATCCCAAGATGGCAAAATCTTATTGAAAAATTCTTAGTTTTTCTTTTCTAATTTTTTTGAGTTTGATAACTTTGAATTTTTTTTTTTTTTTTTTTTTTTTTTTTGTTGCTATTTATCAATTGCAAGGAAATGAAATATCAGATATTAAGAAGTGCTTATTGAAAGATCTATTTATTTATCTAGCATTCTATAACTCACAACTTAGAGTTATTACAGGATTCATTACTCTAATCATATTTGCGAACTAATCAATACTTGTTAGCTTATTTTTTTTTTTTTTTTTTTTTTTTTTTACCATGTTGCTATTATAATTGCAAAGAAATGAAATATCAGATATTAAGATCTTATTGAAAACTAATTTATTCATCAGCTTATAATCAAATTAGAGTATTTACAGGATCATTTACTTTAAATATATTTGGACTAATCAATACTGTACTTATTAAATTGTTTAGAATTTTAGATCACTTATGAAAATAAAATAAAATAGAAATTCTATTTTAAGACTTTAATATACTTTCCTAATTTGCAAATTGGAAATAATTTGGCACGATTGGTTAAAAGTTAAAACAAAAATCTTGCCATTTTTAAAAATTTTCATTTTTTAGCCCCACACGCTTTTGTTGTCAATAATATCACAATAATCATACACAAATATTCTAATTTTTTTTTTTTTCTAAAAAGAAGAATATAATGAATTAAGAATGTGAATGGATCTTGTATACATGCATGTATGGTATGGGTTCCAGCATCCTTACTGTCTACACTCAATTTTACCATATATATGTATATAGAAACCGAATTGATAACTACGCAATATAGCAAAGTTATAGTCTAATGAAAACGTGTATATGACCTAAGTTATAATCTAATGAAAACGTGTATATGACCTGATAATAAATTTAGTTTCAAATCTCTTTTTTTAATATTCAAAATAATAATAATAATAATAATAATAATAATAATAATAATAATAATAATAATAACCACAGAGTCTGTGTTTGTTGAATTTACAGGACTAAAAGTATAAAATAGCAATTAGAAATTGGAGTTTTTAGGACCAAATACAAAAACACCATCAATAATAATCCGCTTTTTACGGATTCATTTTCACCTTCACCCTTCAATTTCTTTTGTTTATTGCGATTTTATCAATTTCTTCTTGATTTTTGAGATTTCATTTCCAATATTCATTCCATCTTTTGCTGAAAGGTATGGAAAAACCAATTCATTTTCCTTTTATGCTATTATTGATATAAGTTTGTACTTTCAGCTGCATTTCCTTGAGGTATATGTTGTGTTTTTCTCGGAAAATGATTTCTTTCCAAATGAATATGAATGGAGAGGACAAAATAATAAGATTTTGTTTCAATAATACAAAAATCTCTATTATTTTTCAAGAATAAGGAAAATTCGTAACTAAATCTCATTGTTGCCTTAACCAGTTAAGGAATTTCTTTCCTTTTCCTTATTCTTTGGATCAAAAGTTTTCAAAATTTGCCAGAGAGAAAACTTCTGTATATTGAGAATTCATAAAACTTTACAAGTGGTTTGTCTCAATCTTTTAGCTTAGACTTCTGGGTTGGATCTAGTAGTTTTCAAACATGTTTATATGATCTGCTTTAATTAATATTGAAGTTTTATAAGAAACAAGGCTTTTTATCGTTATTTTCTTCATATTCACCTTCATTTTACTGCTCGTAAATTGGATCAGGTCTTACAAGCTTTTACCTGAATTCAATTTGATCAATAATGGGTAAGGAACAACATAGCTCTCCAGTCCCTGATAGGAATCACAGCAACACGAGCGCAGGATGCATGTGGGGCGTGCTTCATATACTTAAGTATCACCATTGGCGTCACATCAAGAAGAGACTTCCTCACAAGAGGGTTGTTAATGGTAAAAATTCTGTAGGTAAGCCAAATTAGATTCCATTAACATGAAAATCCCACAATTATATGTGTGTGTGTGTGTGTGTGTGTGTGTGTATACTCCTCTTTGTTTCTTTGTTGGGGTGATTGTTCTTGATCTGCCATTTACTATATCAGAACAGACTAGAAGTGTGTGTTTGTTGAATCTCAATATTTAGTTTGTGCTAGAGTGCAGTCAAACTTATTGTGACTTTGTATGGAAAATGTTCGATTTATTTGTGTCATTGACCTTATAATTTCTGTAGAAGATGGAAAGTCAGTAGATGATGTAAATCTATTGAAGGAAGACGGAATTTCAAAGCAGGAAAGCTCAAGAAATGACAGCTCTAAGGTGAATTGATTAACAAATGATATTCCTTAACAGTAATATTGTTAAGGTGTATATTTGTTTATATGTAAATATTAATTTTATAATAATTGAATTGAAATGTATCAGGTTGATGAGAAGATAATACAGACTAGTGCAACTACAAGTTCAGCAACTAAAGGTTCCATTAAGTCTCGACTAAAATCACTTATATCACAGGAATTGTATAGAAAGAAGGGAAAACATCAAAACCTATCATGTACATTTCGATCCAATGCGGTGCGGAAAGATGAAAAGAATCCCCCTGCTGCTGCTGCTTCTGCTGCTCCTGCTGCTCCTGCTGCTGCTGCACCCATAAATAATGACTGTGTGGTTGCTGCAACGGACTTGAATGATAAAAGTCCTAAAGTTGCTGAGAAAAGTGAGACCATTTCACCTATGAGATTACAAGATCCATCTGTAGAAAAATTGTCGGAGAAAAAAGGTTGTGAAGATTATGAGAATCAGTTGAAGCCTAAGCTGCAGTCTGAGGATAGAGTGAATCAATTAGCTGAAAATGATCAGTCTCTTCTTGCAGAAAGTAAAGATCAAGAATTAGTACATGTAAAAGAAGTCAATATGGATGCTTCAAATCACAAGTCAAAGGAGATTTCAGATGCTCTTGATATGATCAACTTGAATGAAGAATTCCTGATGAAAATTTTACAAGATCCAGGCTCTCTTTGGGCTCATCATTTCCAAAACCAACAAGCCTTAAGCAGTAAAGGAGGATATTCTATGTCTAGGCTATTCTCTTGTCGCAATTCAAATTCTGGACTAAGAAAATTCAGCCAGAAGCAAGAAAATGTTGAAGCTGATGCAGAAAAGTCCAAGTCTAAACAATATACCCGGTCAAATTCAATGCCATCAATAGCTGCTGAGTGCAGAATAGAGAAAATTCTGAAACAAAACCAAGCAAAACTTGAAGCTACTGATAATTCCTCGCCAGGTTCAATGCGAAATGAAAAGAATCCAGCTGCAATTAAACGCTTCAAGGATCTTAAACACAAGTTACAGTATGCTATTAGACAGAGCAAAAATGATAAGTGTAGAATCCTCAAGGATGCAATCTGTCATAAGATTCCTCATGGTCAAAGTGAAAGACTTCCCAAGGATTTCAGAAGCCAATCTTGGAAAAAAGAAAATTTTAGTGTTAACGAGAGTGATAATTGTATTTTTCCTACGAGGCAGATCCAAAGATCATCATCTCTTATTGGATCACTAGATAAATATAGTCAATTATACGAGTCTACTTTCAACAGAGAAGCAAAACATACTTGTGAATCATCAAAATTGACAACGGAAGATGCTCCAAAATCCTTTAGAAGAATGTTCTCCTCTCCTAACCTCAAATCTGATTTCTGCTACGGCCAAGATTCTTCTAGTTCCTTCTCATCAAACCGTGTAAAAAGTGATGTTCAACAGAGTTCGGATAGTGAAACAAATTCAGTTAACGAGGTTCAATTGGAAACGACAACAATATCTAATTCTGATCAAAGCGCTAAGTTGAGTTTAGTTAATGATGATTTGGGAAAATTGGTGGTAATGGACAGAGCATTTCCAGATTATCAGGATACTGCAGTGCCAAGTCCATCTTTCATTGAACTGATAGAACCCAGCTTATTCCTTGTGCCTGATTCCAAGTTTCAACAAGATACTGTCACTCCTGCAAGCTTTTCCATTTCAGAAGGTATTGCTTGTCACTAATTCATTCTTGATCTTAACATGATATCTTACTTTTAAAATTTTAAACAAATTCATACTTGTGACTAACTCTAATATGTCCTTTTGAATGGATATGGATTATACAGAAGAAGATTTAAAACCGAAGATAAGCCCTCCCCTTCTAGACAAAGTTGAATCTTTAGAGGACGGAGTTGCAGAAGCAGAAACGAAGATAAGCCCTCCCTCTCCTGACAAAGTTGATACTTTAGAAGATAGAGTAGCAGAAGCAGAAATCATCAGCAAGTTTACACCAACAGTACCCGAAGTAGAGTTAAAAATAGAGTTTCCAAGAAAGCTTCTAGAATTTCAAGTAGGTGAAAAAGAAAAAGCTGAATTTGATTATGTCAAAGATATATTAGATTTATCAGGTTTTACTGGAAGGGAATTGCTTGGAACATGGCATGCAAGTAATCAACCAGTAGATCCCGGTTTATTCGAAGAACTTGAAGAAGATTGTATGCTTCTTGATCCAGAGTGTTCAGGAAATAAAGAAGGTTACCATTGTAACCATCTACTCTTATTTGACCTAATCAATGAAGTGTTGATGGAGATTTATGCAAAATCATACACTTATTGTCCCATGCCATTGTCTGTGCTTTCGCATATTCGTCCAATGCCCATAGGATACCATGTTCTTGAAGAAGTGTGGGCACTTATAAGTTGGTATTTAAGCTCAAGTTCAGATTCTGATCATTTATTGAATTATGCTGTAAGTAGAGACTTAGGAAAGAGTGATGGATGGATGAATCTGCAATTTGATAGTGAATGTGTAGGGCTTGAACTCGAGGACTTGATTTTCGATGAGCTTTTAGATGAACTGGTTTATGATGATTTAGCTTTTTACACATGAAATTATTTTTTCTTTTTTAAATTGTATTCTTAGGTTTAGATAAGTAGGAGGGTTAAAATGATTCAATTCATATACTTTGTAATATAGTTTATTTTCAGCACTAGTCATGTATATCAATATATGCATAATTAAACTATATGAATAACGGGAATTGATTATCAACAATATATCAATTGTGTAAGCGACTTCAATTCCATAAGAGTGAAGATAAAACATTTTCACTCTCTTGATTATATTAAATAAATAATAGAAATTGATGGTTACTAACATCACTCGCTATTCTAATGGCATATTGATCCTATAAAAGAATGTTCTGGAGGATTTAGTAAAATGAAAAGAAATAGAAGGGGGGTATTAACTCTAGAAATTGAAGAATCCAAATCTATGACTCAATCTAATGAATCCTAATAATAAATTTGTTGAAATGCTAATAAAGTCTAGCCTAAAAATTGGATAACTATAACGACTAATCAAAATAATATTATTCTAAATTGCCCAATCATGGGCCTGTGATAATGCAAATCTCATCTAGCTCCAGTCACGATCATTTATTCACAATCTCAATATGTCCAAGTAATTTGAGGTATTCACAATTTAAATAATTTCTTTAATCATATGGTCTCATTACATTAACTTGCAAAAAATTAATTATATTTAATAACCTAACAATTAATATATTCTTTCAATTACTTTTCTACTTTCTTTATCTCGTTATATTCATATAATTCTTCATTTATAAAGCTATTAAAATTTCTATTACATTCCCCCATGATGTAATTTCCATGAAAATTATAATTATCTAGTTGAACTAATAATTTTCATTATTTTAAGTCCTTAATTGACCGAAACGGATGAAAAATCCCTTTAAAGTATTCACGCTCTAAATCAACTTTCTATAACATCGATTCATGTATGCATAATTTCACTTTTGAACTTTTTTAATTTTAGCTATTTGTTTCTCTTAATTTAATTACATTTCTGTTCTATTGGGTTTTTTTTTTTTTTTCCTTTTTAAAAGCATTGTCTGAACTCAAACACAGCGATAAGCATGAAACGCTTAAATTTTATTTAGCATGGCAAAAACAATATCATTTTAAATTTTTAAAACCAAATTCCGACATCATCACTGAATCTATTTCTTTGTTTCTCTCTCTATTTTTCTTCTTCTAGATTACACTTATTACAAAGAAAAGAAAAGTTTACAAACACTAATAATATAAACTCTTTAAAAATATTTTTATTTAATATTATGAAGAATAAAATTATCTATCTAACAGTTTAGCTTAAATTTACTTTAGTTGTTTTGGTTTTTACCTCAATTGCAAATGAAATTAACATCAATTAAAAGAAACATAAAAAATAAGGAAGTTTCACTCACTATTTTGTAAAAAACTATCATTTATAATCTGCATAAAATTAATATTTTTGAAGGGGTAAAATGTTTATAATTGGACCTCTGGAAGAAAATTATTGCATTGGGCCATCATACTCTTTTCCTTTATAAAAGAGAGCATAGAAACAATCAAAAGAGGGCATATAATCCAACATAGTACCTATGGTTACATAAGAAATATATTGACTCAATTCTAAGACTTATAATAATAACAAAGATACAATAAATTCTGATCAAATAGACCTAAACGTCGTAGAAAATTAAAATTTCTAACTTCTTTCAATTTTAAAACCCAAAATGATATTCATATAAACACAGAAATTTTCAACGTTCATGAAGAGATAGAGAAGCCATTGCAATTGCCAGAGAGAGCTTTTGCAGTTATTGTGGAAATTCCATTTTATCTCGGTTAGTAAGATTTTTTTTTTTTTTTTTTTTTTTTTTTTTTTATGCTACTTCGATCATTAACAGTTTAGCCTTTAATTTACTTAGTTGTCTTTTGTTTAACCTCAATTGCAAATGAACATTTAACATCAATAAAGCAAACATAAAAAAATTAAGGAAGAGTCTTCACCTCCTATTATTGTAAAAAACCTATTCGCAATTTAAATCTGCCATAAATAATATTCTTGACAGGTAAAATGTTTATAATCTGGACCTACTTGGTAAGAAATTATTGCATTGGGCCATTATCACTCTTTGCCCTATATACAAGAGAGCAAGTACAGAAACATCAAGATGTCCGTCCAATATACTCAATTCCAACATTTCCGTAGTACCTTATAATTACATAAGCTAAAATTATTGACCTCATAATTCTAGATCTTTATACCACAAGATACTCCTCTAACTAAATTCTGATCAAATAGACCGCTAACTACGTGTCTCTAGAATATGTAAACATTCTAACTTCCTTCTCAATTTTAAACCGCAAAATGCATTTTTATTCATATTTAACACAGGCAATATTTCAACGTTCATACAGATAAGAGAAGCCTTGCATTTGCCAGAGAAAGCTTTTGCAAGTTATTGTGGAAATATTCCATTTTATCTCGTGTTCAGTAAGATTTTTTTTTTTTTTTTTTTTTCTTTTTTTTTTCTGTATTGCTAATATCCAGTGGCAGAATCAAAACAAAAAGTTAAGGAGCCAAAAAATTTGTTCAAAAGTTGTCCTGGTGACAAATTAACAAAAAAAAAATCATTATTTCAAAGATAAAAGAGTAAAAATTTCAACAGATTTTAACATAATAAATATTTTTTAAATATATAATTTTCCTTTTTTTTTTTTTTTTTTTTTTTTTTTTTTTGTTAATGCTAATCAGTGGCAGAATCAAAAACAAAAGTTAAGGAGCCAAAAAATTTGTTCAAAAGTTGGGTGACAAAATTAAAAAAAAAAAAAAATCATTATTTCAAAAGATAAAAAGTAAAAAATTTCACAATTTTAGATAATAAATTTTTAAAAATATTAATTTTCATTCTTTTTCCTTCTTTTATTTCATTTTATCTTATTTTCTTTTTAATAATTTCATTTTGAATAGATACTGAGTTTATAGTCTCTTGAACTTCTTAATGAAATTTTATTGTATTCTCTCTCTTTTGATGAATTCCTCGATTTAAAACACAGGATAGGTTATTAAATCCTTTTTGTTAGAGACTTTAGATTTTAAAAGTTCGGTTAATGATTTTTTACAAATGGAGCCCCTGATAATAAGATGTCATTAGTGTCAGGTGTTCTAAATACAAGATAGATTATTGATTTCTTTGTTTTAAACTTTAAATCTTAAATGTTCGATTAATGATTTTCTATGGACGAAGCATAATAGTGTAGTTTGCTCCTGTAATATTTTATATTCTTTTATGAGCATTTGCATGTAGCAAGCTTCTCATGCATGTTGCAGAAAGTTTCTTTCATTATCTTATTTGAAAATTAAAAACTAAAAATGTTATATTAATTTTCAATTATAATAAAATTCAAGTAAACTGCTAGGTGTTACTAATAATTGAAATTAATACTCCCTCCGTCATATTTTATTTGCTTGTTATTTTTATTTTGTTTGCTTGTTATTTTTTTTTTATGTTTCAAAATATCTGTAAGATTTTTAAATTTAAACATAAAAATAATTATTTTTCTCATAATGGCCTTTATAATTGTTCGTTGAATGAAGGATTTCTTTTATATCTTAATGAGTTATTAAGGTTAAAGGAGGGTAAAATAATTTTTATTGACTAAATTCTTAATAGGCGTATTTTGTGAAACCATACAAATAAAATGAAACTGAGGAAGTATAGTATTTTTAATTTTTAATTTTTCTATAATAAATTTGGTGAGATATTGTGTATATATAAATAAAATGGATTTTTATGGATCATATTTAAAATAAGTTTGAATATAATTAAATTGGTGTAGAAGGGATATGGATTTTTAAAATTTTAAACTGATTTAATTATTTGTATTTCAAAAGAAATTTTAAATGAATTTAAAATGGATATTAGTATCAAAGTATTTAAACTGATTTGGATGTTCTAATGCAAATGTTGTAAATTTCGGCCCCACTTCCATCCTTAGTTTCAATTAACCAAAAGTCCCTATTCCCAAGTAAAAGTGTACCAATAATCCAATGCACAGGGCACATAACTACAACAGTGGGGAATCTGCCTGGGCCTTTGAATGATTCCAATCGCATATTGATCGACACGTTAGATAGTTTCACTGCCAAATGGCCCCTGGTCGGACCCATCAAACGGCTAAAATTTATCATGATGGGTCCATCTTGATAGATGCCAGCGTTCGATTAAACTTTTGATCCAAAATGATACAATCGGACGGTGGAAGGCTTTTGGTCAACTCACTCTCCAGAAAATACCAGAATTACCCAAAACGACGGTATGTCGTATGTGGAAGAAAGCAGGTAAAAAGCCTTGGACCGATACGTAAGGATAAGTGTGACGCATTATCGTGACACGTGGACGGTCGATATCCACCAATCTCTCTTCGCAACTGCCTATAAATTGAGCCTCCAATGCTCTGTCATTGTACACTCGCTCACTATCATATCAAATCGGCGTTGAAAGATCAGTTCTCCTTTTTGAGTATCTAAAAATGTCTTCTTGCTGTGGTGGAAATTGCGGCTGCGGCTCCGGCTGCAAGTGTGGCAGCGGTTGTGGCGGGTAAGATCTGAACAATTTTGTTTATATCTTATTTTTGATCGATTAAAATTGTTTGATTTTAGTTGTAATTTGGTTTTTTGTTTTATTTCTGCTCATTTGCAGATGCAAGATGTATCCTGACATGAGTTTCTCCGAGAAAAACACCGCCGAGACTCAGGTTCTCGGAGTTGCACCGGAGAAGGCACGCTTTGTCGATGGAGGTGAGGTCGGCGTTGGAGCTGAGAACGGATGCAAGTGCGGTGACAACTGCACCTGCAATCCTTGCAACTGTAAATGAGATCGGCGGCGATCAGTCTGTTTTTTAGAAGTAAAAGCAGAGATGACTCTGCTTCTCTCTTTCTAAAAAAGGAGAAATAATTAATAGAGTCTAGATATCGTATGAGTTTGTTCGTTTGTTTCTGGTTTTGAGCTTCAATAAAAGTAGTGGTGGCTTGTGAGCTTGTGTTTAGCAATGGCTGCCTGTTGCTTTAACGTTATATATTGTATAAATTAAAAACTAGCATATGAATATGTAAATGAGTACGAGGGGTGAAATAGCTTTGAAAGCTTAATGAGAAACTCCTTTTCTATTTTCTAATGTCTGTTGATGAATTATTGATGGGTCTGCTGTTTTCGGAATGTGCAATTATTGAAACGTTTCGGGTTGCAATTGGAGGAAGGTGAAAGCGTGATAACCATTATTCGATAAAGGAAAATGGGTGGGACAGTGTAGTAGTTAGCTAGATAAGGAAAAGGACAGTGAGTGGTGCTGTTACTATTCACATGAGCATGCATTTATAACTCATTGAAAAATGAGCCCTACGGTTTAAGGTATTTGCTATTGGACACAAAGTATTTTCAAGGGCATAATATGGTATTAAATAAAAATAAAACTAAAAATAATATGTTATGTAAATCGATGGAAAGTTGCTAAATACTATCCCTTTTTGGAGAAATATTTTCTTTTATTACTTTCTCGCAATATCTATATATAATGCCACCTGTATAAAATAAATATAATGTTTATTTAAATTACATTTTATTTTAAAAATATTTTATAATGCTAATTATATTTTATATAATAAAGTAATCTCAAAATAAAATTCACTTAATTTTTAAATATAATTTCATTCTCTAATTTATACATGTAAACTGTAAAAAAAAAAAAAAGGGTAAATCAGCAATAAATTTAAAAAGTTTTGTTAAAAATTTTCAAATGCATTATAACACATATTTATTTAAATAGAATAAAATTAAAAAATTTCAAAATCTTAATTATGTGTAGATGTATATTTAAAAATAAATTTATAAAAAAAGCCAATCAAATTATAAAAAAAAAATGAAAAATCAGTCCTAATCAAAATATTTTAAATTACAACCAAATATTATATATTTTTCAATTTATTTCCTTATTTTTATCCCTCTCCAAATCAAAATATTTTAAATTTCAATTAAATATTATAAATAAATATTTTTTAAGATAAAATCTTTTAATTGCATATATCTAAAATTATTTTAAAATATTTTAAATTTCACGGAAACTATCGAAAATAAGTATTATTGTGTTAGGGTAAATTATTGTGTTTATATTTAGTTATTGAATTTAATATAAATAAGTGTTCACTGAATTTTTTTTTAATAATTATTCCAATTTATTATCAAAATAATTTATATCTATATATTATTTTATATTTATAGATAAAAAAACTATACTAAATCGGTTCATATTTATATGTTAATTAAATTTACTAAAAAAGGTAACTGTTGTAAATAATTAATTGAATTTGAATTTATTTTGATAAAAAATCTTTAAATAATTAATTTTGAACGTTTAAAGAAATTATTAATATAAAACTTTTAGAGTTTGGAGTATATATTATAATTAGATTAATTGAATTACGTATTCTTCTAGAACTGAATTAATTTAATCAACTATTTTTCTTTTAGTTTTTTTTTTTTCGAAGGGAACTATTTTTCTTTTAGTTAATAGTTAAGATATCATTTTGTATTATTTTTTTCTGATATATCCTTATTGATATCCATTAAAATCAAATTATTCATGTTAAATTATTAAGGTTTAAAATTTTTATTTGCTTACATCACGATTTCAATTAAATGATAATAGTAGTTTGACTATTAAAACAAGAGAACAATCTGGGCATTAGTGAAAATTAATATTTATGATTTGATAAAATACGCATATTAAAAATTTAGTCAATAAATGTTATTTTGCGCTTTTTTGTCTTTAACTCATTACTTTCATTTAATGAATAATCATAAAGATTATTATGGGATAAATAATTGTTTAAATATATAAATTTAGAAACCTTACAAACAATTTGGAACATTCAAAAAATAAATAACAAGTCAATAAAATAAGACAGAGAGAGTTGAATAAAAATTAAAGTAGATATAGTTAGAAATCAAGTAAATTTGTATTCTCTTTATTTTTTATCTATTCTATTGCTGAATTCTTTTATTTATCCCAAATAAATATTTTTTTCACTTTCAAATATGAAACATTAAATTTAATTATTCTCTGGAATCTTCTAAACAATGTTTTTTAAAAGCAGCAGTTATATTCAGAAACAGAAAGTAAGGCCTCAAGAAACACAGGAGGCTCTTGCCAGCTAATTGGCTTTATCTCTTAACCCAACTCCATGATTGATTGTAACAAGATAACAGAAATTGTTTACAATTTAAAACAAGACTACCAAATTCTTACAAATTAACCAGCATATGTTTTTAAAGCAGCAATCATTCATCCAAACTGCTGATAATTTACGAGAAATCATCCACTGAATTGCTTCCCTACGCACCGTAGCCTCAGCTTCCTTTACAGAGAATAGACCAGATGTATCTTTGAACTTAAAAACCATTTTATCAAAATTATGAGAAATTAAAAAACATGAAGTGTATATATATAGATCATTGTTATTGAACAATACAAAGGTTTCAATTGTACATAAATATATATTACATACACATCCGAGTTAAAAACCAATTCCTTAAACGCACAAGCAAAATAAGGCTGTCCTAGGTAAGGACACGTATCACCAATAACAATAGTAATGCAAGGACTAACTGATTGATACTGGAATCAAACTGTTGATGGATGAATTATCCATATAACTATTCGACTTGTAAAGTCTCTGACAAACAGGGTGTAGCCATTTCTTGTCTATCAAATATTGCTCTTGCAGCTTTGCTGAACATGTTGTGAACCTATGTTTTGCATGCATTTTTTATTAGTTCGTCTTTATAGACTCAAACTTATAACTTGCACTCAATCAACATATATTCTAAAAGTTCTTTACCTGCTTAGATGAAAGGCCTAGCTTCTCCAGATCACCTAGCTGCAAAGGTTTCAAAGCTCTTTCAGTGTTAATACTAAAAGTCGGATACCATAGTTGTTTGGTATATTTTTGTTTCTGGTTTTTTGTTTATTTTTTATATACTAAAAAGCTTGTATCTTGGAAAATTGTTAGATTATGTTGATATTATTGCCAAGGTATTGCAGAAAAAAAGACTTGAATTTCCCCAAGAAAACTTGAAGGCTGTATAATAGCACTTGCATCAAGGAGGAGTAATGAAGGTTAGTTGAGCATCAAATATCTGAGGGGAAAAAAAAAGAAAACATTTGGGTTTTACAACCCATTAATACTGAAGCAAGTGTTGAAGGCTTTAACGGTCACTGAAATCAAGAAGGAGAGATGAAGAATCTAAATAAAAATAAAAATAAAAATAAAAGACTGGTTGGGCAATGAATATCTTTCCGGGAAAAAAAACATCTGGGTCTTACAACCTTATGATACTTATGAAGGCTATTAATTTTCAATAGCTGCGATCATGCTGTTACTTTAGCTGCTTCTTGGTATTTACTATTCTTCTCTTAATTTTGCTGCAATACTAAACTTTAGAAACTCTGTATGTTATATATAAAAATAGTAAAAGGAGAGTTAAAAACGAGTGAGCTTGAGAGGAGAGTTAGAGAAAATGAAGAAAAAAAGTGAAAGAAAACTCTGTTTTTATGAATGAAATTTTCCAACTCTGTGTTGCTTTATCTTGTTTTTTCCTATTTTTGTTTTTCATGTTTTTATTTTTAAGTTTTCTGCCCAAAAAAAAAAAAAAAAAAAAAAAAAAACATTTGGTCTTTTACAACCCATTTAATTACTGAAGCAAAGTGTGAGGCTTCTACACGGTCACTTGAAACTCAAGAAGGAGATATGAAGAATTCTAAATAAAGAATAAAAATAAAAAATTAAAAGACTGCCTGCCGCAGATGAATATCTTACACGGGAAAAAAAACATATCTGGGTCTCTAACAAAACCTGATGATAAATTATGAAGGCTATTAATTCTCAACATATGCTGCGATTCCATGCTGGTTACTTTAGCTGCATTGCTTGTATTTACCTACTTCTTCTCTCTAATTTATGTCCTCAAATACTCATCAACTTTAAGAAACTCTGTATGTCTTACTATATTAAAAATAGTAAAAAAGGGAGAGTTAAAAAACGAGTGAGCGCCTGACGAGGAGAGATGCTAGGAACGGATGAAGCCAAAAAAGTGAAACAGAAAACTCTTGCGTTTTTTTATGAATAATATTCCAGAACTCTCGTAGTTGCTTTACTCTTGTTTTTTCCGTAATTTTTGTATTTTCATGTTTTTCATTTACTACCAGTTCTTCTGCCAAAAAAACAAAAACAAATATAAATCATTGTTCCCTAAAAGGGCGCCTATAACCTCACCGATTTTCAAGGGGCTTTGTCTTCTCTTTCAGTTCAACTATGTATTCCAGCCATTATTTTCTGTCCAATCGCCTTATATCACTGGGAAGCAGGAATAAAGTCTAAGAACAGAACATCGTATAAATAAATTAAGGCCCCAGTGATTTAGACACAGTCATATTGATGTATGTCAATTTTACCTTTGATTTACTGTAGTTTCCTCTCCCTGCAGATTGCACAATTAACAATTAGATTTACTTATACGGAAGGCAATCGTAAAAATGCAAAAAAAAATTCCTCTATAAAGCAGCTTTGGACATATTTACTGCTTCGCTCAGCTATTCAGGAACTCGATGTACTCGTCCCTGCATCAGCATTAGCTCTTGCCGTGCATAACAAGATTTAGAATAATTAGAGACTTACAATTTAACAGACTTGATATTTTGGGCTGGATCTTACTCCACCTTCAGAATTATTAGACTTTCAAATTGTATAAATTGTCTAGTGAGGTGCCTCGTCTTGTCCGTGACACTATTATGTCCGTTGTTGCCCTGTAAATTGGTGTAATTGGAGTCTCTGGGCTCAAAGAACGCGGGTCACTTTGGCATACTGCAGAATGTTAATTCTTCTTGGGGAAATTGATTATATATTCGGAAGGGTTGATGGCGGAGAAGAACTTTTCTCAAAGGACTTCTGCATTCATTTTATGCTTATTCGCTAAACCTGGCGCGGTGCGTCCTATTCAAGTTGCTGGAGCTCTACCGGATGTTGCCTTTGGCCTCTAACTGTCTAATTGAATAGTTTACAAGACTCTGAGTAACTTGACAAAATGAAACAAGAAAATAAAAATCCATTTGAATTGATTCATTGGTTTCATGAAACAAGTAACTGTCTAATTGAATAGTTTACAAGACTCTGAGTAACTTGACAAAATGAAACAAGAAAATAAAAATCCATTTGAATTGATTCATTGGTTTCATGAAACAAGTAACTGTCTAATTGAATAGTTTACAAGACTCTGAGTAACTTGACAAAATGAAACAAGAAAATAAAAATCCATTTGAATTGATTCATTGGTTTCATGAAACAAGTAACTGTCTAATTGAATAGTTTACAAGACTCCGAGTAACTTGACAAAATGAAACAAGAAATAAAAATCCATTTGATTTGATTCATTGATTTCATGAATCAACAAGACTTTATTTGAGTGGTTGTGCTGTGTACCTGGATTTTGTGCAGTTGAATTCAAAACAGTTTCAGCAGAATCAACAACGGTCTCTTCTCTATTGTCCTCAGCAACAAACTGCAGACTCTGCAAATTGACTTTAGATTTGTGAGTTTGATAGTTCAAAATAACATGATTTTTGAAATTATAAATTCCTATTGCTTCTGGTTCAGCAGAAGGGGCAGGACATTTAATTGTTCGTCAAATGATTTTGCAAAATGGGTGATTGATAATACTTAAACAAACAAAAGATTGTCAAACTTATTTTGAAAATAACAACTCGCAGACTGTATTTGGCATTCTAGTTCCATGATATTGACAGCAGTAGTTATAGGGTAATCAGAATAGCAAAACAATACTAGCGCTGGAGATAATGGTGCCTAAAAGGACACGATTTTAATAAGAACATACCTCCAACAAAGAATCCTTTAAGCCTTCCGTATTGAAAAGATTTCTGAGAGGCACAGATGTTGGCCTGCATATGTATTAAGCATATGAATAATCTGTATAAATAAATGCATCATCTTTTACTTTCAGGAACGATTATCTCTACCTCTCTTTAGCATTTGAAATGCCCCGGTTGCTATTGACCTTCGCTTTTGCGGAGCTTTGATAATTGTGTTTCTTGATAGAACTAGGAAATGGAGAAGTATGTGCTCCTATTCTTTGTGCACTCTTTGTCTTTCCTCTAGATTCAAGCCAAGACTTCAGTTTTGCTTCCATATCAACTTTAACGTTCGGAGTCTCTTGTTTTTTAGCTGAAGAAATAAAATTTGAGATGTGGCGTGATCTAGCAGCCAATCTTACGGTATGGACAGACTCTTGATACTCTCCTGGATTCTACCATTTTGTATAAAAAAAAAAAAAAAATTTAAATGAAGAAAAGAATTCCAATTAAATTTCAGATACGTCTGGGAATGTGAGTAAATATTTATCACAATACAACGAAAACTTCTTACCAAACAGGCAACCATCAAAGCACGACTGGTTCCTCCAAGAGAGTCCTGCAATATACGGGTTAGTTTGCTCTCTCGATAGGGTACTCGAGTGTTGTTGTTCAGTGCATGAATCACATTGGACAGTGCAAACAAGGACTGATTTATTTTTGCACTCTCTATAAGGCGCATCCCTTCATTACAGGTCCTCCTATTATCTTCATTTCCTGATTAAATTACAAAAATAGAAATAAGTAATATAAAACTAGACTGACTAAAACTATACTCATCAACCTACCCATGGTCAATTTGAGGTAGGTGTTGAGGTGAGTGTAGAAATGACCTGCTAAGTCTATGAGGTTAAGCTTCCCAGTAATAAGTGTCCCAGAATCACCATCACAGCAAGGAGTAGTGACACCTATCACAAGCACCCCATGGCTTCTACTTGACACATCATTAAGACCTGTATGTGCAATTTTCCTCCTCTGAGTTACACGGGCAAACACCTCTTGAAATTCAGCCATTGAATTGACAGGGACTCTTGATAATCCCCTGAGGTGAGTTTGCCCCTCTTTATCATCCAGAATTATGATTTCTTTTTCCCTGAGTTCTAAAAGATCATAACACCTGTCCAGATACACTTCATAATATGAAATCTCCACTTTACTTCCTCTACTCTCGCATGTGGACAGAATGGTAGACATGGCTTGTGGCATTAGCCCGGGCAGTTTATCAGTACCCTGAAACATCAACCACATCACAGCGGCATTAGGCTCAGTTCTTTTGTCACAGGTAGGGGTGAGCATTATTCTGTTCAATCAGGACAAGACAACCCAATTACCTAAACACAGTTTTTAGCAAAAATATATATATTTATAATTTTAAATTTTGGTACAAACAATTCCCGTTGTTTCAGTTTTACTGAGTTTGAAACAGAACCAAACAAACTAATACTTCCCCTCAAGACTCAAATCTAAAGTGACCAGAGATTTATGGAATTGAACATAATTTACCAACTTCCATCATTTATAAATGAATGTTATAACAAAAATTGGATAATGTGCAGGTCAATTTGATGCAAAGAGACTAACATCAGCTGTTGCTGTTCACAAACATTAGGGCTCAATTGGAGTGAAACTATTATTTTTCAAGTAACCGACCAAACAATAATTTCAAATTTTTCTTTTTTTTTTCCCCAGTTTCTTAGCAAATTAGAAGCAACATCAATTAGGGAAAACAAAATTGAACCTCTCTTTAGTCAAAGTACCTGCATAGTGAAGGTCTTTCCACTGCCAGTAGCTCCATAGGCAAAAACTGTAGCATTATAGCCCTGGAATATTCCTGGAATCAAAGGACTCACTTCTTTCTCAAAAATCCTGCTCACGCTGTTGTCTTCTTGACCAAAGAAGGAATCCAATTGGTAGCACTCACTTCGGCTACACATAATAACAAGGTCGAACCATAATCAAAAACCAAAACGCACTAATTACCTTGCATCATCCAACGAAAACGAAATGTAGAGAATTACTCACCTAGTATCAGGATCTTTAAGACGAACAGTCACTTCATCTCTTGACTCGCAATCTCGATGGATAACTGAAATACACGAACTAGGGTTGCTATTTTTTGCTGTGATCTCTTGAGGAAGAAAGGGGCGTACCCTTGCAATTACTCTTACCTTAGAGATGAAATTGGCATCCATGGGTTTTTCTAGAGGGCAAGTTTTGAGTGATCTGGGCGTAGTCAGCGAACCGCTTTGGATTTCCATTGAGACAGAAGTGATATCAATTGAGTGAGATTTGGAGAGAAATTTGGATGTTAGAAGAAGAGAGAAAATTAAAGGCTGTTTTCCGGATCAAGACAGGAGTTGAATTGTAAATTCGACCGTTGAGAGAAATAGGGCTCCGCTTTCAAAAGTTCAAATCATGCAGATTGCCTTTTTTGGGCTTTTTTAAAGTCCTTCCATTTAAATTTCTGCTGCACAGCGTAGCCGTTGGGCCTTGTGGGACCCACAGAAGGTTGAGATAAATGGTGAATTTGTGAGTTTTTTGTTTTTTTTAATTGAATTTGTAATTTTGATACTTGATTTATATGAATTTTTTTTGAAAACTAATTTTTTCTGTCTGGAATACTCAAAAAAAAAAAAAAAAAGTTGGAGAAATAATTTTATGGTGAAAAAAAAAAGAAAATTTTTACTTAGCTATCAACTCTTGACAATCCACTCTTCATATAAACATTAAGGAGAGAAGAGTAACATTCAATAATCCACTCTTTCAACTCTAAATAACTTTTTAAAGTTTACATTTGTTCCTATAAAATAATTTACAGAAAAATATTTTTCATAATTTTCAGTTGTTTGAGCGTTCAGAAAAATAAGTCAAAGGCAAATATTTTCCTGGTCAAAGAAAAATATTTTTCTAGTTAAAGGAAAATTAAGTCATTTTTTAAAGAAAATAAATTTTCATTTTCAAGAGAGTAAAATATTTTTTGGACATTGATAAACTAAGTTTGAAGCACGAAAATTAACCGTGCATTTTTTACAAGAATAAAACTTTTCATTTCAAGTAAGAAGCAAAGAGTATTTTTTTATGAGAGCCATTGATAAAAATCTTAGTAAATATATCCATATCTCTCTTGTAATTTAATTAAGTCATCATAGTCACTACCACCAGTCACCATTTACGAACGACCGGTACCTGCGACTTTGCATAATAAATATAGCTTGGATCACTTATAGAGAATGATTTTATATAATTACCGAGGCTGGTCGGATATACATATCTCACTGATGGAATATATATATATTATTATTATAATGATTAATATCATGTCACGCCTTAACCCGTTTCCGGTGAGCCGGACCTGTGTGGGGTTCTGGTTCGGGCACTAGGCGGCCAGGGTATGCTTAAAGCGGTCCCCCGAGGCCTGTAGTCCACAGGTCCTGAATACGCGCTAAGAGGCACTCTATTAGATCGGTATAAAATTTCAATCATGTAAAGCCCATAATGATTATGAAAGGCATGTAAACGCGCAAATAGTTTTTATTAAACTCTGCTTCGGGCGCCAAATTTAATGGCTAAACGTTCCACAGGTTCGGCCGCCTATAATAATAAACAATACGCCCATCACCATTTATAATTTATGGGTTCACATAATTATCTTCATCTTATAATAATAAACGATTAAAAGTAAAATAGCAAATCCTACAACTGCGGAGCTCCACTCAAACAATGGTTAGTTGGAATTACATAGGCAAAACAATTATGGAACTTAGGAAAAATTCTTTATGCCCGTGCGCCGGAAGAAACATAGCCTAAGCGAGTGGTATTAAGAGGGAAGAAAAACGCAAATACTTCCGTGCCAAGAGTCAGAAGCATAACTGTGAGTCAGCTAAACCTGGTTTTCTAAGAATAATTTATATTATTGCACAAGCAACGCAGTCAACAAAATGTATACACATATTTAATCTAGTCCATCCGACCTAGTTTATATGCTCACGCAGCCAGTCACAACAAAATGGCAAGTATCACTCAGCACTCACAATCAATAAAAATCTATCATATAATCCAACATCACGTGGAAATTAGTCCAGTGGCGCCACCGTGAAACCCGGCCAACGAGCCGTCCTCTACACTGGCTCGCCCCTCTCATACACATAAGTGCTCAGCCAGGTGAGCGAGCCAGCCATAGTGACGTTCCCATACGAAGGCCACCGGCCAAGCTGGTTCTTCAATCCTACTGACTCAGGTTCATAGCCTCATGGTGTAATTTCATCCATTTCTCCGTCTTTTCCGTGTTTACATACCACAGGCCCAGCAGGTGAGTATATACATCCAATCTAGATCAAACTCAAGTGCACACAGGAGGGGTCCATATTAGAGGGCTTACATCAAAATTAGATTATTCTAGATTCGATATAGAGTATAGGTTTTCTCCAGCATTTATTCCATATCATCAGGTGCATACACGGGGCAGCGATATTAAGGCCATATTTCCCTTGCGCAGAGACGGGCCAAAACTATCAATCATATATTAATTACGGATCCACATATCTACACAGACCGTCCTAACAAGATCCTTGCAGAATCATTGAGGATGGTAACCTTCTCCCAATGTCCACAACCTGTACAACAGACATAGGAGTATCACAACACAATATAATCAAACATTTGCAATCAAATGCGACATATATATCGTTAGACATCTGTGTAAGGTGACATATGACAAGCATTATTCTAATCAAAGTAGAGATAGATTAAAGTAAATTGGTTGTAACAATAAACATCATAAATAATACAAAATATTTGAATAATAAATGAAATAATTGAATAATTAAATGAATAATCATGATAATAATAAAATAATCAGAGCACTTTATTTATTAAATATCAAGTTATAGAATTAATCTAAATAAACTTATTATGTGTAGCCTAGGTTCTACTGAAATTTCGGCAGCATTTTCCCTAAAAATGGGACTATCCACCTGTTTAAATATCAAAAATTTCATTCAATATTAACTCAATCCACACAGCCCATCCGTCGGGCAATCAACCAAATCAAATACCCATCCGCCTTCAATAATATATCACCAATCAACCATAATTTACAAATTAAAAGACCTTCAACTATTCTAGGAATATTATCAATAATTCTTTGCTTAAGGTATAAACAATATCATTAAACATTTATTAACCATTAAACATTTATTAAAGTTCTAGACTAACTATTAATAACTAATATTTCAATTAACTTCCAAGTTAGTAAATACTTCTACTAGATAACTCAACTCGAAACTTAAACATATAACTGAAGCTTCATAAATTTCTCCGTCTTAACATAAAAATACCACTTCTAGATATAGCTAAAGAGTTTTTCAATTGAATCGTTAATTTAGCAAAAATATTGCTATCAAGCAGTAACCAACACTAACCAACATAAGAGTATTGAAAATATAAATATATATACATACATCTGTTTCCATACCAATTATTTAAAATTCTATGTCCACCCGAATAGCTAGTCTCAATCTCGGGTTTAGATCGTGGTAGAGGAGAGAGGGTTAGCTAGAAATTCGATGTTGCCGTGAGTAGGGTCTAAATATTATTATTTCCTTAAGATCTATCCTAATTCCGTTGAGTAGGAACTTTTGGTTGTCTCGCATATATTTACTTCTGTTGTAGTAGAGAGGGACGCTTATACTGGATTTTTTTGTTTCGGATTATTGGTTTATACGTTCCTTTCAGAAGTGGAACTGGTTTATTTAAAGCCGAAGAAGCAAGTCATAGTTATTTAATTCGGACTATATAATAAACGAACCTTCCATGTTTGTGATTAGTCATAATAGACTACTAGCTGTTAAAAAGTTCCTCTTAAACTAGACTCTAAAATCCTCTTAAATCCACTAATTTATTCACTAGCATATTTGCGAGAAAATAAAAATCAGTTACAAAAATAATGTTTTTTGTACAAAATAAAATTGCTTAGCTGGAGGATGAACATATAAGGTGGAATATTAATTCTTTTAATTTTCTAAAAATATTTTATTATTGGAGAAGTTTAGTTATCGAGATTAAGGTATCGTCTCTTAATTTCGCTAGTAATTCCAATTAGCCCAAATCATAAATCCTATACTATACTCAATGAATCATGGAGAGAAAGTAATACTGTGTGGAAAACAAGTGAGTCAACAATTTAACACATTTATATGTTGTTACCTTTTGCCTATCGCGAGATTCCAAGTTCGGTATTCTTTGTGCCGGGCTGTTCGTCAACTGGTTTCGTCTTGGCACGGGGGAAGGAGCCATGTGTCGTGGCGAACCAATGAAGAGCTTGGCGAGGCAGCAGTTGTAGGGAGGAAGAAAGCTGAGCTAATGGCATGTGCTGGGATAGAGGGAGGAGTTGAATTTCCGCCGATGCGCTTTATGTGCTGGACGGTTCCTTTGGTGCCCCTGGAGGGGACTAACGTTTGCCAAAAGCAAAACAGGTTAAAACATCATGGGATCTTGATGGGCAATCGCATCACATTTCCTTTATGTTTGAAGGTGATTTGATTCACTTCGTGGTTCAGACATTAGTTTCCACCTGTCTTAATGCTTAAATATAAATATAAAAAATAAGAAGGATTGGGCAGCCAGATGCTTGGTGACTATTTTGTCGATGGTTTTCAGCCAGGGAAACAGGAAAGAGAGAGTAGAGAACGGCCGAGAAAAGAAGTAAGCTTTAGAGCTTTGCACTACGTTCGATCTTTACAGAGAGTTTGGCCCTTCTGGTTAGCATTTGGTTTTGCTTTGCGAGCTGTGGAATGTTCTGCACCTGGAGTTAGTACAGGAGGAATTTAGACTGACCCAGTAGTCAAATCTTTATGGTCAGCATATAGAATTTTTTCTTTCCGTGATAGTTTCGGTATTCTGGGCGATATTTCTTGGTCTGCAGTGCTCTTCTTCTTCTCGGCGAAAGCCTCGCTATATCCGGCACTGGTGCGCTCTCGTCCGCTGTGGCCATTATGCTTCGGTTTCTGTTTCACGGATATCTCTTGGAAAATTAGCAAGAGGAGAAATGGACGAGAGCGGCGGGCAAAGCGATTTAGTTGGCGCTTGGGCGTTTGGGGCTTTGTTGAACGAAAAAAAGAAAAGGGGGAGGGGAACGCTTTCGGTTGTTTTTCCACGCTAGAAGAGAAGGACAAGACAGAAGACAAAGAAAATTTTTGGGCTTTTCTTTTACGACTATTCGAATTTTCATTCGTTAATCGGTTTTGTCCAATTCAATGAATTCGCTTCGAGTCTGCATTGGTTTTCCTAATACGCGATTTGAATCTTATTTTGATTTTTTTTTTAAGGCTGGTTCTAGAATTTCTCCATTCTAATCTCATATATAAATATGACCATATTGATTTCGTTTAGGATAACTTACATTTTATTAATCAACTAGTACATACCTATACATACT